TCCACTGACATTTATTGAGTATGCACTGTGTGACAGGTACTGCTTAGGTGCTGGGAGGAAGATGATGTTTAAGAATAAGATCTTGCCAGCTGGAACTGGTGACCTGGATACTGACTGATACAGTAATTTGTGGAGAAGGCAGGCAGCTGGTTTAAGCCTCTGAGGCCTTCAATACAGAAGACAGGGAGACCCTGATACATAGAGTGAAGGAGAAGAGTCCAGAGGTCAGCAGCAAAAGAAAGCCCAGGACTAGATGGTGCCCCATCGCAGACAATGTGCTGGAAGGAAGGTTAGAACCAGCGGTATTGCACTGGGCTTCACAAAGTAATACAGAAAAGCAGTTGTAACACACATCACATTTCCTGGAGCACTTGGTTGGGTACCAAATGTCCCTTAACAACTGCAAAGAAAGCTTCATTTTTAATCTTCATATTATACAGATGAGTCAACGAGCAGCAGGGCAGTTAAATGAACAACCCCAAACCACTGCTATTTGGAGCTGGCTTTGAACTTCAGTCTTCTAACTCGAGATTCAGAACCTTCCATATTCTAGAAGGAAGGCATATGGGAGAGGATAGGCTGAGTTGCTGTGTAAGTGAACAGGTTCAGGTAAATTCATCAAACAAACCGCATGCACTGGGAAATTTGGACGAAAGGTATACAAAGAAAGCCATAGCGGGCTGGAAGTTAGTTGCATAATGTTCCTCCACTGTGAAATGCAGCCTGGCCATGCCGTTAATACTGTAGCATAACTGGATGTTCCCTCATTCCTTAGCTAGGTAAACATTGCCATCATGCATCAAGATGCTCAGCTCCTCAGTTAAAATAGTGATTGAGTGGTTCTCTTCACAATGATCAGTAGGATACTGACTTAATGATTCAGATGTCCTCAGAAAGAAAAACAAAGGGTACATATAGTTGACTTGTATGCTGTAAGGATGGACTTGACATGCAGAACTGTCCCAGAATGGATTTGACATTTTGAATGTTCCTGGAATTAGGTGACTGAATGTTTCAGGTTACAGTAATAGTAACAGAGTACAATAATAGACAGGACCATGGGGCATCCTTCATAAAATTGTTTGGTTGAATTAAATCATACATTTAATTTACTTCAAGAAAGATTGATAATGTAACGAGGAATATTTTCAACCTCAAGGGCAAATAAGTCAGTCTCCTTGAATGTTAATGGGATAAAGGCCCAGTGATTGTTTCATGTGGGATAACTAGCATCAGATGAAACCACTGGAACTTCCCAGAGTTAAAAGAATGGCCAGGTCATATGGAATTTCTCCTGTCATGTGGTCAACAAACAGTTTTGACTTTTGGGACGAGAGCATGTTTGATGTATGTGCTTTCCATCCCATGTCTGTGGATGTTTAAGTAATGATAACAGCATCTCACTATCCTTATTCTTTTAAGAAACCAAATGCAGGGGCTGGAGCGAAGGCTCAGCAGGTAAGAGCACTTGCTGTCCTTGAAGAGGACCAGGGGTTTAGTTCCCTGTACTGGGTGACTCACAACTACCTATAACTCCTATTCCAGAGGAAGTTCCATACTCTTCAAATGGCCTTCATGGGTGCATGCATACACCCAGGCACATAAACACACAAAATCAGAAAAATATAAAGAAACTAGACATAATAGCATATCTGTTGGTGTAGGCCTGCAGCTTGAATCTATAGGCCTGTCGGTTCTTCACGTACTGGACATATTGTATACATCTGAGTACGTACCTATGGCCAGGTCCTGGACCATTTTCGAGAATCACCAGTGACTTCAGAAGGCAGGGAATGAGGATGGTAACTCAACCGGGATTTCAAAAGATTTAGCTCAGTCTAAGAAATCTTTGTGGTTATCACCAAGCTGGAGTCAGGGAAGCTCCTTTTCCAGTCAACACACTCAGTTATCACCCAATCTATGTTTATCTGTAGTGATATCTTGCTTTTTTCAGGGAACTGCTTCGGCTTTGACTGTGAGTGGACATCAGTTTTCTTTTTTAAAAAACACATTTTTAAAAATTGATTCTTTGGAAATTTCACATCATGTACCCCAATACCATCCATTTCCCAGCCCCCCATAGCTGCCCCTCACCCTTACAGTGTCCTCCCAAAGGAAAACAAAAAAAAAGAAACTATAAAAGTAAGATAAAGATAATAATCGTAACAGAAATACAAAGAACATGAATTTCAATTAAAAATCAACCAAACAACAACAAACCAACCAAACAAAACAACAACAAAAAAAGAAAGAAACAAAGAATCTGGGTTAAGGCTCTGTGAAGGTATCCCTTAGTGCAATTTTTTCCTTGGAGTATCACTGCCTCCTAATAGCTCTACCTTTTCTTTTTTAATTACAGGTAAAAACATTGGTTAAGCAGAAAAATCCTGAATATGTGATGTCTTTGTAACATAGTAGTAAGCATACTTTTTCATGTTGAAATATTTCTTAAATATTAAAGAGAGAGACTGACGTGGGGTAACCTAGTTCACCAGATTTCTTCTAGCCGGCTTTTCAAGGTTGAAGTTTTTCAGCTCATCCCTAGAAGTAACACGTAGAGGTGAGATCTGAGTCTTGAAGCTGAGTATGTCTGCATTCATGTTAAGACAGGTGCCTGGCGAAATGGGAGCCCCTTAGCAAATGCTAACTTAATCTTTTCAACTAGCTCCTGCTTCTGAGCTATATTACTTAGAGATTATGCAGTTGTGTTTTTTGTTTGCTTGTTTGAGTGCAAGAAATGTGAAGGAAGTGAGTTAAAACTACTAGCAGAGGTTTCTATTTTTAAGTCGCGAGGACAATTTCACAGAAATAGTAGAAAGCTGTAATTTTTGGCATCTTTGATCGCTCTCCTCTTTTTGACAAACTTTGAACAAAGACCCTGAAAATGTCAAGCGTGGAAGTTGACAGTCCTGTGCCAGCGTGCTCCTTTGTGGTCCTCTCCTCCTAGCCATCATTTTTGTTAATCTCATGACCTTGCTTTTCCTGGAGGCTGCTCTCTGTAAATAAAGTAGCCAGAAATGCTTTCATCATGGGCATCAGATTATGCCACCCATTACTGGTTTCGTCACACTCACTCAGAATAAAATCCAAAGTCCTTTTGCCCAGCCCTCTGTACCTCAAATCGTTGACTGGCATCTGCTCTATTGACCCAGCGACATCTGTACTGTGGTTACCTTGAGTTTGATTAACTCTCTCATCCACAAAGTGGCTTTGCATTGGGTACTTCCTACTCTGAGACTTCTTTTTGTCTGGAATCCTAAAGATCCCCTTTGTTAAGAAGATTTCTTCTTGTCCATGGGAAGGCAACCGTTCTCATTTCATCGTGCTTTGTTTTTACTTGTCATTCAGTGTAACAAGGACTCACTATGTGATAAAGAACACATTCTGGTGTCTGCATTTCCTAGAGCTGATTGCAAGGAAGGAGGTAATTGAAGGTAGCACCATCATCCGGTGCTCCCACCCAATCTCATACTGCCTAGGAAATAGAAGACCTGTGGGTTCAGTGGTGTTCTGTTCCTGCTGGAATCAGCGGAGAGAACATGTAGGAAGCCTATTCTTTCTTCGGTTTTCGCTAGTTGCTTCTGTAAGGTTGCCTCCACCAATGGGGAGTGGTAAGGAAGAACACACAGAGCAATTCTGCAAAGATCTAGTTCACCAAATTTACCAGGCACACTCCTAAAAGTCACATGACCTAACTTTTGTACTTATTCCCTTGTGTGTGAAGTGGGACCATCCTGGTTCAGAAGGCTCTTGACTAAATTATGAACTTGAAAAGTAGGAGGCTATCCAGAAGTTACTCTGTCCCAATAAGAGAATAGTTTTCTGTCCCCAGTCAGGTACCTGAGCTCTGAAGTCACACTTCTAATGGAATGTGTTTCTAGAGTTTGTAAATAAAGTGCACAATTTCTCTGTCCTCCCACAGAAGGGTTCTTACTCCTTCCTCTTCCCCGGCTTTGGGGAGATACATCTTCATCTCTTCATCTGTGTACCCAGGTTGTCCAATGTCCTTTTGCTAAATTGTTGGAAGGTCTTGTTTCCTACTTTTTTGCAAGGCCAAATTCAGGTCAAACCCCTGTTGGCTGTCTTCTAAGATTTTCAGCTCATCATTTAGCCCTTCCCTTTCAAACTGATTAGTATCCTGACATTTAACCCATTTATGTCTTTTTCTTATTCAGAAACACAGAGAGATGCCATCTTACTGCCTATATGATGGGTTTAAAACTCATTAGTGGGTCATCTGGTATCCCCATGATCTGGCTTCAATCTGCCTTTCAATTTTGGTCTCTCACTTTTCTTTCTTCTGGGTGTGTTTGTGTTCCTTGTTGCTTTGTTACATCTGTGTATCTATTTACCTCATTTTCATCTGCCTATACTTCTCTATTCTCTTTGTAGCAGATCTGCTCCGTGTTCAGGATCCTGTGTATTCTCCATTTCACAAAAATACTGACTCTTTATTTGCATTTTTGTTTTCAATACTGCATTCATCATTGTGACCTATTTGCCTCTGCTTGCCTTCCAAAACCTCCTCCCACAGGAGAAACTTACTGTTCATTTTAAATTAGCATGAGTAGTAGAGATTTTCTTTTGTATTTTCCTTTTTATAAATGTAAAGGAGCCCTCCTCCTCCTTATCCAAAAGAAAGTGAAAATACGCAGCAGGGAAAAGCATTGAACTTGCAGACATCTCTTCATTCATTGTGAAAAGAACCAGGTAGATTTTCTCAATGAAGTCAATTCAGCTTTATTAAATTGCATCATATATGTTCTTAGTTAGCTCAATGAAACTGTTGACATTTATAAGAGATTTACTCTAACAGCTGAGGAATGACAGAACAAAAGGCCATTTAGGTGAGTCCTCATGGTTACCAGTAGCTGGCCCCGGGCTTGGGGAAACTTTCCATGTGCTCCCTGAAGAGGGGATCTGTGTGTTTTTGTCATAGATCAATGCAGCCATGATCCCTCAGATAGTTTCATGCTAATGCTCCCTCTGTCTCTCTGCAGTACTTCGGAACGTTACTTGTCATCTTCTGTGTAGAACTGGCTTGTGGTGTGTGGACATACGAGCAGGAGGTTATGGTGAGTTCCCAGTGGGACAGAATCACAGTGTGGGGCACTGGAGAGTGACTTGCTACATGGTCGTTACTTCACATGATCACTTGATATGGGAGGGCTGAACATTCTTGACACTTCTGAAAAATCATATATATATATATATGTGTGTATATATATATATATTTTTTTTTCCCCTGTGGCTGAAGCACATTTCCAAGGGATAATTTAAAATCTTTATCTTGGGATACTATGATACATTGTAAATTTTATGGATTTCTTAAACACGGACATCATGGATTAGAACTACTCTAAGACCATTGCACCATCTTCTGAGTTGGTAACGAGGAAGATTAGTGTGTGTTTGGTGGAGAGTGCTAGACTTCCTCCTTTAAGCCCATCCTTGCTGACCACAGCAGAAAGCAGGGAGGAAGCCAGCATCTCCTGATTGCAGCAAGCGGAAACCACATTGCCCTTTAAGAAGTGCATTTGAAGAATTGCTGTGTGCTCACCGTGGTGTAGAAACTCTCACAGCTTGAGATTTGGCTGCTTGAAAACAGCAGTTCAGCATTTTCCTCTTATTTCAGTCATTGAAACCACTAGAAAAGACCTTCATAGCTTTCTTAGAATGAATGAGGAGTTTTTTTTTTTTTCAGCCTTTTTCGCCAGTTGCACCGTACTCCATAACAGCTCCCCACCCCAACCCTGGTCCTTGCATAATTTCAGTGGTGAAATTAGTACACTTCTTCCCAGTGAGGAATGGAGCCGCTTTGCATGCCTGTGAATGCTGACTGGTGTCATGCCTCATAGAATACTTCTGTTTCCATAACATGGTGCTTTTCAATGTGTTGTCCTTGGCCTTCTGGGGAAGCTGGAATGGTGACTCTTAATCATGTGCGTTCCTTTGTTCCAGTCCAGATGTGCCTAGTTAAAATGGAGGGTAAAGACGGGGTCCAGGCACCTGGCGAGTTTCTGGTGAATTTTAAACATTTAAAAAGTCAAGACCTCTTAAGAGAGGGTGATAGTTTTGTATTTGTTTCAGAGATAAGCGAGACATTAGGCATTTGTGTAATAAAACTGATGCCATTTCTGTTGTCAGTACAGTTATTAGAGGTGTGGTGAATCTGTAGAGTACTGAGACTATGGATACTCAGTGGCTACCGCAGACTAATGTCAAAGTTGACCTGTGCAGGCCGCCATGCCAGCAGTCATAGCTCCGTGAAGACACTCATACCTCCACTATGAGGACTCATGGGAAGAAGACAGAATCTATGGAAAGTTGAAGGCACAGGGTCTGTCCTAACTAACTCAATATAAAACTGAGATGCAGGGGAGAAACTTTGTACGTTAGGAACAGTGAAAAAGTAGTAAGGCCCCAGAGTTTTGCTTTGGCTATATGGCAATTTACCCTGTTTTCAGTTTTCAAAAATAACCTTCAACCCTGACATGCAGACAACAGAAAAATAAATCTTATAATTCCTTTTTGGTTATGTTCTATTTGGTAATTAAAATATTTTTTGAAATGAGTATCGTTCTATGGACTCATTTATTCATTTAATTTAGAGACAGGATCCTACTTCATAGTCCAAGCCAGCTTAGAACTCGCTACATAATGCAGGCTGTCTTCAAATTCATGGCAACCCTCCTGTCTCAAGCTTCTGAGTGCTATAGTTCTTGTCATGAGGCAGCACTCCCCATTCATTCTATGGATTCTCTACCTGGGTTGTGAAGTCAGAGTCCTCCTGATAAATGGCGACTCTCCAAAGCTGGGAAGCATGGAATGAGTTAATCAGTGTGCTTGAGAGGGGTGCTTTCTCCATGCTGGGAAGCAGAAGAACATGAAGCAACTTCCATTTGCTCAGACGCTGCCCTCTAAGCAGGGACCTCCATGGCTTCAGCTCCTGGGGCGCCAAGTGAATGCATACTGCCAGCCATTTCAGTCACAGGCACACGTCATTGTTTTGCTTGTGTAAATCTTCCCCATGACATCACTGGGAGAGAGGCAGGAAGGGCTGTTTAAAAGTGAAACGTGGAGAGCAGCCTTACAGAGAAAGGAAAGTCAGCTTTACAATTTTTATTGCCTCTGCACTAATAACAATGTGAAAGAAAAGTGCCATTAAAGTTTATTATCTGCCAAATTTCACAGAATCCAACCTTTACATAGAATGGGCTTTGTGCTCTAAGCTGTTTCATGCAAGCAAGCTGTGTGTTGTGCCTTATGGCCGGAGCCCAGTATTTTGTGCCAGAACCTCAATGGTCCTCTGTTCTCTTGCCACATTTGGTTTGAGATTGATGGTGGCCGCAGTGAAGAAATAACCAGTGTTGATTTTGGAAAGCAAAAATTTACAAAAAGTTGTTCTATTAACCAAGTCAAGAGGCTTGACATCTGTCTGCTCCCCGATTAGTTTGATAGTTTCTATGTGCTCAGTTCCTATCGATATTCCAGTTAAGATCTGTCCATAATACTGTTTCAGATGATATATTTCTCGAGAATTTTTTTATTTCCACTTACATTGTGCCCTAATGGGTATGAGATAATAATAATTTATAGCAGGTAGCTTGAACTTTATCTAGTTTTCTAGACTTTATTAAACCACAGGAATAGGATGCATACCCAACTAACTTGCTATTTTTGTATTATATATTCCCAAGTGATTATTAAAATGAACTAGAAAAGAAACAAAATTGAAGAATTTCTGTGACTAAGGAATTTTAAACTTACTTCTACTGATATTACTATTTTTTTTTCCTGAAGTAGGTCTGGCTATCCTTGAACTTGCTTTGTAGACCTTGTTGGCCTTGAACTTACAGACACCCACCTGTCTGCCTCTGGGCTATTATTACTATTTTAAAATTTAATTTTAATTAAAATGTATGTATCTATTCGTACCCTGTGTGCATGTGTGTTCACAGTGTCTACAGGTGTACATATCCATGCCCAAATGCTGAGGTCAGAGAAAAACTGGTGTCCTCTTCCACCGATCTCTGCTTTGTCCCTTTGGCACAGCATCCCATGCTGAATCTGGGGATTGGCATTTTCTGCTAGGTTGGTACCCTTAAGCTGCAGTGGTCCTCTGCTCTCTGCCCTTCCTCCCACCGCCTGAAGTGCTGGGGTTATAGGCACGTGTAGCCGTATCCAGCCTCTTTTGGATACTGGAGATCTGAGCTTAGGTCCCAGAGCAGCATGCATCTTTATAGACGGAGCCACGTCTCCAGCCTGATTGTACTGTTTTTTTAAAATAATATTTCAAAATTACCCTGGTCTTAGGTCTTAGAGCAGGGACTCTCAACCTGAGGATCACGACTTTGGGTGGGGTGTCAAATAACCCATTCACAGAGGTCACCTAAAACCATTGGAAAACACAGATATTTACATTATCATTCATAACAGTAGCAAATTTACAGTAATGAAGTAGCAATGAAAATATTATGGTGAATATTATGGTGGGGGTCATCACAACAGGAGAAACTGTATTAAAGTGTCACAGCATTAGGGGGGTTGAGAACCACTGTTTTAGAGGCGTATATGCAATTCCCCTTCCTATATCTTAGTTCTAGATCTCCATGTCAGTTTCTTGAATGGAAGGTGTGTTGGTATGAGCTTAATTTAGGTTCTCAGCAAGTATAAATTAAAATGGTATGTGTCAGCTATAACACACTCTGTATATTTGTGGTGTTGTGTTGTCAGTGTGCTCTAGGTTGTAGATTTACATATGTGAGTAAGCCTTTGGCTGTAGGTTTATACATGTGAGTGAGTCTTTGCCTGTGGTGTTGTGTGGTCAGTATGGTGAAGACTGTGTAGATTTATAAGTGCGAGTGAGTCTTGCCTGGCTGGTTGAGCTTGTGTGTTGATATTTTCTTTTCTTTTTTTCTTAATCTTTAGGTGCCAGTACAGTGGTCAGATATGGTTACTCTGAAAGCCAGAATGACAAATTATGGCTTACCCAGGTATAGATGGCTTACACATGCTTGGAATTTTTTTCAGAGAGAGGTAAGTGCTGCTATTCCTGGGGGTAGAAAGTGTAGCATAATTGGCAAGTTGTCAAAACAGGTGTTCAAAGCCTTGGCGTTGATGATTTTCTGCAGTGAAATCTGAAAGCCCGTGCAGTTTTTTACCCTCTGCAATGCCTCGAGTCATCCCTGCTTGTCTTTTCATCTCTCATTCCCATATTCCCACCTCATTCCTTCTGGTCACATGTGCCTGTCTGGAAGCTGTTTGGCCCAATTACTGTGAAGTTTCTTTTTCATGAGTTACCTAATAAATAGCCAAAGTTTTACTTACACATTTCTCTTTTATCGTCATTTTACTACTTTTAGAGTTACCTGTGTTTTAAACATTATTTCAACACTTTAAGAGGTTGCTTCCATTTGCGAATTTTGTTAGTGTGATCATCATTATCAGTCTGTTTTTTTCTTTTCTAGTCAGGATGTCTTTGGTTCAAATCGTAGCTCTGCTACATTCTGTCATTTTACTGAATTCCCTAGGTCTCAGTTTCCCTACTTATCACATAGGAATGGTACAGGTATTCACCTCGTGGGGTGCTGAGCACAGTAAGAAGAGTGAACCAATGGTACCATTGACCTTATCTCATTTAGCCTATGCTGACACTACAAAATATACCTTTCTTCCAAATGTCTTTTGCATTTCATCAGAGTGTCTTAAGCAGGAACTGTTTCCTAGACGCTTAAAATCCAGTGTCTTGAGATTACTCATTGCTCTTGGCATTAAACCATCTCTTCTGAGCATTTTCCTTGTGAGCGACATGACAGTTCTAGAAGACCAAGTATCTCAGTTTGCTTTCCTTTCTCTTGCTCGGGACTATGAGGCATGGGAGAATGAGCGTCACTGGACAGCCATCCCTGTCTATGCCTGTGGCAGAGATTCAAGTCTAAGACAATCTCCAAACCTGGCTTTGTGTCTCAGTTGTTGAGATGGTAAAATTATCAGCGTCGCGCAGATTTCCTGTTATTTCATTGTTTCCTGACTTTGTTTGTTGCACAAATTTAGTAAAAAGCAGTGCAATGAGAAGACACATGAAGCCGTTTTCGGGGGTTGCCCTGGGTAGAGCTCCGGAGTCTTTATTTCCTGGAACTGATGCAACAAACTGCCCGAAACCAGGCTGAGGAACAGGGACCTTGTTCTCCTCCTTATAGGGGGCCTCTACCTCCATGGACAGTTTACAAGCACTGCGGATGCTACATGCTAGTTTCTCTTGGCAGGTTCCCTCTTATTCCACAATGCTAGTTCACATAAAAGGCGTGGTGAATACTTCCAAATACCTGGAAGACTTTGCAACTCTTTATATTAATCTGATAGGACTGCCACAGTTAAGTGTCACAGACAGGGTCCCTTAGTCCACGTGTTTGTTCTCAATTCTAGAGGTTGAAAGTTCAAGGTTGGCAATATTGATATCTTTTGAAGCCTCTCCACCGGCTTGTAGATGGCTTTAATCCCATGTCTTCTCATTGTCTTGACCGTATGTGTGCTGTGTTTAATTTTCCTCTTCCTATAAGGATGTTATTCGTACCTAGTTATGGTCCATGATGATGGCCTTATTTGAAATTAGTTATTCCTAATGTCTCTTTCACCATAAACAGTTGCATTCTGTGACATGAGGGCTAGAATTTTAACATGGAGGTTTAGATGGAGAGAGACAACTCAGCCAAGGATGGCTTTCTTCTCCAATAAATCATGGACCAGAAAATCACATGGTCAGGATTTAGCCCTCGAAACTCCTCATTCCCTGGTACCCTGTGCATGTAACATAACTGAATCAAATTTGCATAATTCTTAGTGACACTAATTTTTTAACCCCATTTAAGAAATATATTTATTTTAACATGGTAACGGTTGTATACTTTGGAACCACAGATGCTGCCTTACACTGACCTATGACTTTGGAAAGTAACGTCACCCATCAAGGGCCTCAATTTATTTACATGTAAAATAGTGATTCTATTTTCTACAGCTTGATGTAGTATCAACTTGGGGGGAAACAGTCTTGTCAGGTAGTGGTAGACACAGGCGTGTACTGGTGTAATGCTGAGTTCACCTTAAGGAGGTTCAGGAAGCCTCTGTACAGACCCAGTCTCCTCTGTTGGGCAGGCAAGACAACCACAGAGAAGAGAACGGATGTTAGTGTTTCCTTAACAATGTTGGCACCGAACATGGCATATTTAAGTTATCTGGAAAAGCCACTGCTGTGAAAATCTTCATTTCCTGACAAAGCCAGATTAGTTGGCCACTCCACTGAGGCTGGAGGTAGAAGGCTCTGAGACCTGCCCTGTGACATCAGCTCCAAAAGGTCTTATGTGGCTAGGGACTGAGGGAAGTGGCTGTTTCTGGGTAAAATGTGGTATCAAAATGTAATAGTTTACAGCATTTAGAAAGGGGAGTCTTAATTCTGACCCTTATTTTCAGGCTTCCAAATGCTTTGCATCAGTGTGTGACATCAGATTAGTCAATCTGTGACATTTATGTTACATTTGTAGTGCTCAGGATGTGTCTCTGTTGTGACGCTTGTGGTACACCCATGGTTTTGTTTTGTTTTGTTTTGTTTTGTTTTTACGAGACAAGGTTTCTCTGTATTGTTTTGGAGGCTGTCGGTCTAGCCTGGCCTCGAACTCACAGAGATCCGCCTGCCTCTGCCTCCCGAGTGCTGGGATTAAAGGCGTGAGCCACCAACGCCCGGCTCACACCCATGGTTTTGAAACAATGGAGAAAGTATTTTTAAAATTTCTCAAAATCCTTGCTATTAATGGCTCCCAGTGATTACCATTCAGAGTGCTTTTCAGATGCTTTTTTTCTTTCTAAATCATAAGCTCGTTAAATCATAAGCTGTTTAGGCACAGAGAGTGAAAACATACCCAGTATATTGAGCATTTTCCTCGCTTGCTGTTGCATGAGGAATTCAGAATTCTTCCAAGTTTTGGTTAAACTTTGAAATGGCACCGGATTGTGATATTTTGTGCTTCAGTGTTAATCCAAGCACAGATTGGTCTCCTGGGCTATGTAATTTACATAGCCGTAACTCTTGGCAGGGTTCTTCTCTGTGAGTTCCCATATTCCTTCCTTCTCACTGTGTGCAGAGAATTTCTCTTTTATCCAAGTGCAAAGCTCTCCTCGTCACAGTTATTTTTCTGAATCCAGCCTGCACCTGCCTTCAAGCAGTGTTTATAAGCCTTCATCAAAGTTTTTTAATAATCAATGTAAAGTACAGCAAAACAAAGCAGTCTGCTTAACCATGGCATAGAGAAAGATATACTTACTTTAAGTCCAACTACATTCAAACTAGGAACATCATCATTTTTTTGAGTTTATAATGATACAATATGATAGTAGATCAAGAACTCCATTCTATTGGGTGATACCAAGTTGGACAAATTATTTATAAACTTTTTTGCCTGGATTAAGGAACCTAAGATTGGCTGGTAACCTTTGTGACGTGGGCTTTGGTCATCAAGTCTTTCCATAGAATTTTTGGAAACTTTTATCACAATAGTTGAATTTGTTGAGTAGCATGTTACTGAATGGCCAATCAGTAAAACGATTAACTACTTTCAACTGACTAGAAGTTAATGTAACACAAGTTCAGCTATTGAATTTGTAAGGATGTGTGTGAAATCTGTCATTGTTGTGATCATCCGCGGAAGATCCTAGAGGTGGAGAGTGAGACTCATGTTGGCTTTTAGGCGGGGTGGGTGTTGCTGTTTGGAACCGTTCCATTATGAGATGTTTACTTTGATATTCCCTTGTGATGTGTCTGCCGCCAGTATAGAATGCACACACAGCTTTAGCTGATAGGTGAGCTTAGCCCTGAGCACAAGCATTTAAGGCATCATTCGCATCTCTCGAGTTAAACAGAAACTATTTTGTGTAGTTTCTAAGTGTGACCGCTAACTCTTTTGTAGTTTAAGTGCTGTGGTGTGGTGTACTTCACTGACTGGCTGGAAATGACGGAGATGGACTGGCCTCCAGATTCCTGCTGTGTTAGGGAATTCCCAGGATGCTCCAAGCAGGCCCACCAGGAAGACCTCAGTGACCTTTACCAAGAGGTAAGACCAAGCGCGGTCATCATACCAAGAGCAAAACTTCCCAAAAGAACCTTCAACAGCGTTCTGATTAAAATTTCACCTTCTATTCAAATCTTTAGGCCTCAAATTTTTCTCTGATAAGTGCAGCAGCAAGAGGACAAAGTGAAGAAAAATTATCACTAACCACATTTTAACAAAGGAGAGTGGGAAAGATCTAGTTCCATCCTTAATTACATTTTATTTTATTATTAAAAAAACCCAACCCTTCCAGTTGATTAGATTGTACACTCTAGTACTTAGAGCCAATTTCTAGTGTGTTTTAGGGTTCCTTTGAAAGTAAATGTGTGTGGATTGTGTAGCTGAATGGATCTGTGGGAAGCCTATCTCTGCAGTTCCGGGGGAAACTGGTTTAGGGCCCTGATTTAGGGGAAAGAAAACTCTCCCGAGAAAAGCCCGTGTGTTGCTCTTTGGTTCCCCCTGCTGGTGACAGCTGGTAACCTCAGTTTTGGTTTGCTGAAGCAGTTTTTCTTACAGGGTTTGAATTAATCATTTGGTGCCAAAAGTTTACATATTGTGTGTTCTTCTGGAATTTATCCTAGTCATCAGTTGCCATTTCTTAAGAGTTTTTACATCCCTTTACATTTAGTGTTTTCCCAGTCAATAATGGGATTAACATGTATAGTTTTACTGTAGCTGGGCTGGAAGGTTCTGTGTGGTTAAGAACAATTACTGCTCTTCCAGAGAACCTGGGTTCAGTTCCCAGCATTTTGTGGCTCACACCCATCTGTAACTCCAGATCCAGGGGATATGACCCCCAGGCTCCTGCACACACATGCATGTCTCTAAATTCAGGCATACACACATATACACGGGATTCAATACATGAAAAAAATTAAAGTTTTACAGTAGTCACTGGCTATGTGTGGTTATTTTCATTAAATCAAGTAATTAAATTCAAAGTTCATTATTTAGTTGCAGTAAGTACATTTCTACCTGTGGTCATGCAGCCATGGGGCATGCTGAACTCTTGGGGCTTAACATAAATACTTGGAGTGAGGATATGTATTGGTGTTATGTGTATCTGTGATATGACTGTAATAATAAAACATCTGAGGGTGTGTGTGTGTGTGTGCACACGCACGCTTGCCAGTGTGTGTGTGCAAGCTTGCCCATGTGTGTGTGTGTGTGCACGCTTGCCCGTGTGTTGTGTGCGCGTGCATGCTTGCCCATGTGTGTGTGTGTGTGTGCATACTTGCCTGTGTGTGTGTGTGTATCTGTGCATGTGCTCACGTGTGTTTGTGTGTGTGTGCACACTTGCCCGTGTGTGTGTGTGTGTATCTGTGCATGTGCTCGCGTGTGTTTGTGTGTGTGTGCACACTTGCCCGTGTGTGTGTGTGTGTGTGTATCTGTGCACGCGCCAGCCTCCGAATGTTTAAGATATATGCCTTTTGTTTACTGTGGGAGAATATGCTTTTTTTGTTGCTGTTTCACCACTCAGCATTGTCTGTTCATTTTTTAAAAAGGCTACCGACCAAAGTCAGTTGTGGAGATGCATAGTTTAGACTGTGTGCTGATTGATCCGAGTTAATTTCCACAGTGCTACAAGCTGAGTGGATTCAGCAACAGAGACAGGCTTGCAGTTCTACAGAGTAGAAGTTCCCGGTCACCATGTTTGCAAGGAGAGGTCAGCCTCTTCCAAAGTCCAGGCAGAAGGGCACAGTGTACCTCTCCCCCAGCTTCTGGTCTTGTCAAAAAGCTGTCCTGACCTGTGTTTTTCTCTTCGCTTGGTATTTTCTATGTGTCTTTCTGTCTCCAGATTTCCCCTGAAAGGTCACCTTGGAGCCCACCGTTCTGCAATCTGGGTTCGTGCTCACTTCATTACATCCTAAACAACCCAGTTGTCATAAAATCACATCCTGAACTGTGAAGAGAACACATTAAACATAAAATTTTCAAGGTCATAGCCTAACCTACAATTGGTATTTTTGTAACAACTGAGTAATTCAGCTTGTTTATTATAAAAGATAATAAAAACATGTATTGTGATTCCTCACATTACTGAAAATATGGTGTTTGGCTTTGATTATTTTGAACATGTTATGATTAGATGCAGTTGGCTCCAATGACACAAAGGATACATCAGTTAAAGTTAACTGAACAAGGCATCATGGAGTCAATGTTTCTAGGCCTCTCCGTGTTTGTGCTCAGGTGAAAGTCCACTGTTCTGTTGTCTAGCGGATGTTGTAGGACATGATGAAATGCCACCAAGCCAGAGTTTTCTGTGCTACAAAACACAAGAGACTGTTAAATAGAAACTAATGTGGGGATTAAATGAGTTATAGCTTAAAAGAACATGGTTAGAGCATACACACATGTAGACATGTGAATTGCATCCTATCCGTGTTCCTACTGTAAATCTTGCTCATTGGTCGGTTCTGACAAGCAGCAAGTCAGTAGTGAAAATGACTGGGCTTCAGCCCAGCCCAGTGACGTGGCGTCTGCCTTGGTGATGATGGTTAGAGCCAGGGTGGAGACGTGTGAAGGCAGCGCCACTGTGCAGCTCTGCAAAGCCTGGACGTGGCTAATCTCTCCTCAGTTTTCCTTTATTTAGCTGAAATTTGTTCACTTTCTTATTTGCTGGAATTTTCTTCTTGTAAAACTCAGTTATTTTTTCCCCCAGAGTGGCTTAGATTAGTTCTGCTAGTGCCTCACTTCATAATGGGATGCTTACTCTCGGCGGTTTGTTTTCAGGATGTCTAATAGAAAGGATGGAAGAAGCCATTTTGTGGCACTTGTGCAAACTGGTAACCCAGATCAATCTAAATATCTTCCTATTTTAGTCAGGAAACTTTCCATTAGCTGATATGAGCAATTATAAATTGATTTCAGACACAGACCTCTGGTTAGGTAGGTTGTATCGGAGTAATCTGCTTTGGCATTTTACAATTAACAACCGATGCTGATATTAGTAATGATAACCGTACACAGTTATACGCATTATTGACTTTCGAGAGTGGATCGTTTAGTAGCTTTATAGCTCAAGTACAATTAGGTCCATAATTAAGAGATTAGCATCCTAAGATCACCCAGTAACAAAATGGGTGTTTAAAAGAAGACATAGTGAGTAAGAACTGGGGGATTTGAGAGGATTCTTTGGAAGTTGAGAAATCTAAGGGAAACTAGTTTAGACGTTTTCAAACATCTCAAAGTTCATAATTCATACCAGGAATGAGACATTCAGAGTATTGCTCCCAGGGACAGATGTTACAGGAATGAAAGTTTGCATCAATGGGAGGAAGACCTTGCTCATCAACCTCTGGCCAACCACAAAGCAGGTTATCTTGTAAGATACCGTCTCATCACCGAAAATATTAAAGTCAAGGTCAGATGGTTACGTCATTGGGGCCTTTAGAATGAGTTTTTAAATTAAGAGTGAATCTGTGCTAGATGGACTTCAAGGTCCCTTTATCTCCCATATTCTGTAAGCTCAGAGATAAGTACTGGCTTTCTTCCTGTCCTCTTTCTTTAGAAGTCTGAAATCGGGGAAATAAATCACTCTCAACCATCTGGTGGCCTGCCTGGTTCCCTGACCCAATAATATTTTATGACAGATTTTGAAACCTGTGAAAAATGATAGGGCAGAAATACAGCAACAACTGCACATTTTTGAAATATTCTCACCAGAGGTGCAGTTAGGTTCAGCATACAAATCCTTGAATGTCCATAGTAAGAGGCATACACACTTGAATAAAATGTAATTACAGGTGTGACTATCTCTGACTCTCACTTTGATTTTCTGTATTCATTTACCCAAAATGTTTCGTGATTATCTTGAGTTCCATACGCAGCGTAGAATGTTGTGGATAAAATTCTCACTGATAACTTAAAAGGGTAGTAATATAGACATTTAGTAACAACAAGAAAAAGGCTATTACAGAAAGAAAAGAAAACAGGTGTTAGTAAACACTTTGAGGGCTTTGAACTCAGTACTGGAGTGAGGCTTTATCGATGAGGAAGCTTCTTTGGGTAGCATGAGGCTGTCATAATGGGTACAATTTTACCTGAAACCAATTGGTGACATGGACCCAGCTGGGCGAAGCTTGTGTAGACTATTTTTGGCTTAGGAAACTGCAGGTGCCAAGATTCAGGTGGCCTGAACCAATGATCACTGGCTTTGTGGTACCTCATTCTTAGGAAGTGTTTGTGTAACCATGCCCTCTAATGCTGGATGGTAGACGTGGTCTCAGCCAGGCTTTGAAGTCAGAGCTGATGTTGGTGAAATTCAGCATGCTGCATGCCTCCTTTCTCCCATATAAACGTGCATTGTTTGGCTTGGTCTGGAGAAAACAAACCGAGAGAAGCAGAAAATACAAGATGTTAGGAAGTTTCACACGGCTGGGATTCCCAGACCTGCTGCCCATGGCTGTGGGCTCTTGGTAGAACAATAAGTTACACCTCAAACAAACTCACTCTCAGTGTTTTGTGTGCGTATTGCTGTTAAGCAGCTGTCATCGAATCTTTAAGGGCCTTTGTTTGGGAGAATAACTGTAGTCCTTATCTCAGATGGGAAACAAACAGGCCCTTCAAGGGAACCCAGAGGCTTCGTGCTCCATCTCAGGAAACTGCAGGTGCCAAGATTCAGGTGGCCTGAACCAATGATCACTGGCTTTGTGGTATTCCATTCTTAGGAAGTGTTTGTGTAATCATGTAAGATGAAGCTTAATGGGAACATACCAGCCATGATTCAAATGGGCCCACTCAAAATGTAAAGCAAAGGCGGGCAGAAAGCCAAGCGATACACATATCTTCTCAAAAAAAGTGATGGTCTCAGTGATGTATGTGGGGCAGGGCAGAGTGATACCCCTCACATAGCAGGTGCCTTTGGGACATTTTTCCTTTAAACTTTCTGAGTTTCATGGGTTGGGTATGAATCTCAAATAATAAGTGAATTTATCTCAAGCAATTGTGTTGCTATAAACCACATACGACTTAAATCAGTGGTTCTCATCCTGTGGGTCCCA